TTTGTTTTCCTTAATTTTAATTTAATTTTGTTTTTTTAAAGCAGCAGAGTCCTTTCTTTAAGTGGAATCTTGCCAGTGTGTCAAATGCAGGAGGGGCATGGGAGCTTGGGCCCCCCCTCCCCACGGCCTCTTCTCAACAAACCCTGGGAACTCCAGGGAGCGTCAGCAAGAACTAGGGGTCTGGAATAAGAGTGCTTCTCCGTTAAGGACCTAATTAGGTCTGTATTTGAGGAGTGCCTAAGTATATGAGGATCCCATAATAAAAGCAATTATCCAAAGAGGGCTTAGAAAATATGTTGTGGACCTTTCTAATTCTCTGGCTCTTGCAGAGTCTGGTTTCCACCCCCAAGGGAATAGTCGTCCCATTTTATGTTTAAATTCAGGCAGCTCAATTAGCAGACCTTCGTTCACAGTATAGGCTGACACTTTTTAGCATTCTGAAGATGTCTTCAGGATCTATTCCCTGGTTTGTTTTACCTCATGGCTGAAGTTCAAGTTGAATAACAGAAATTCTAAAATAAAGATCTAATTTTCATTTATTTAAAGAGACAGCAGTCGTAGCCTCGTAGAAGGAGAAAGGGGGTCGCTGACTAAAGAGTCATAGGTCAGAGTCATAGGTCGAGGCATTTGGGGGTCTGGCCTCTGGTCCATTACAGAATTGTCCAATCTCCGATTGTTTGGATAGAAAAAAGAGGTCATTGTGTTTTTAGCATGATAGGGCATTGATTGGAAAATTTCCTACTTTGGACATGTTATCGGGAGGGACTGGTTCCTGGAGAAGGACTTCATGCTTGGTAAAGTAGAGGGTCAGCAAAAAAGCGGAAGACCCTCAGCAAGATGGATGGACACAGTGTCTGCAACAGTGGACTCAAACATAGCAAAGATTGTGAGGATGGCGCAGGACTGGGCACTGTTTTGTTCTCTCGTACACGGGGTCGCTATGAGTCAGAACTGACTCGACAGCAGCTAAAACAACAGAGTAATTCAGGTGGTAGTATAGAAACCTGTGGTTCTCAGGGCCACCTGGAGTTCCCCTGTGGGTCCTTCTGATCCATCAAGAATCGGTCCTGTGTGTGCCTTCAGGACTCTTCCTCAGCCAGCTCCCTCTCTGTGTAGTCACCAAGATGAACCTGTACCTATGGCAGCCGTCATGTCCAAGTCCTCAGTGCTTTATACTGAACTGATGTTTTTAAAACTGTGTATATCCTTTTCGATCAAAGATTACATAGCAGAATCTTGATCAAAAGGGGGTATCTTAGTCATCTAGTGCTGCTCCAGCAGAAATACCGCAAGTGGATGGTTTTAACAGAGAGAAATTTATTCTCTCACAGTCCAGTAGTCTACAAGTCCAAATTCAGGGCATCAGCTCCAGGGGAACACTTTCTCCATC